CGTCGCGGGGGAGGGCGGCCGGAGTAGGACGTGGGGGGGGCGGCCGAATCGGGGAATGACTGAGGGATTCGATCTGGTGGTGTGAGCGTGTGAGTGTGAGTGAGGGGAGAGGGGTGGTGCGTGGGCCGGCGCGGGAGGAAGAGGTAGGCTTAGCGGCAGCGCGGGGGAGGAGGCCCAGCGCTATAGCTAAAGCTGCAACGGGGGGCCGAGAGCGTGGCCCATTAGCAGTGGCACTGGCCGTGAAATCCAGCGCTACTGCTAACGTGCGCTTGTAGCGCTGGTGCTGGCCGTATCTAACCAACGCTACTGCTAAATGTCTACCTATAAGCATTTTCCTAGTAGTGCACCATTGTCTTCAATGTCTTCACACATTTTTAGGGGTCATCTTTGGTAGGTAAACCGAATCAATAAGGGACTACTACGGTACTACTTGTGTTATCCTGCAATTCTCACAAACAAATTAGTCCCTCAACCAAGTTTGCCGTCAATACTCCAAGACCAACTACGGGTGGCACTAGATGCACTTACAAGGTGTTTCAGGAACTTCATCAGTTTTAGTAATTTCACCAGTTTTAACATTCTCGTTATCTTTAGCTCTAGGAAGTTGTTCATCAAGAAATTCACCCAGTGGCACATTATCATCAAGCAAGGTACTAGCATTATCATAAGCATTACTTATAGCAGAAGCATCATCATCAATAACTTGCGACATATCAGGATTAATAGCATATGGTGGTGTTGCAAGTTTATCCATAACAGAAGGTGAATCAAGTACAAAGCTAGATGTCAGCTCCTTACCTCCCCTCGTCTTAGATGGAAAAAATCTTGGTTCTCATATCTTTTGTGTATGCGAAAAACAAACTAATTTTGTCGGCCTTGTTGTTAATAGCGTACACGTGAAAACTTCGGGTCGCTGGTTCGAGCCCTTTGGGTTGCACTTTTTCATTTGAGTTAAATTATTTAATTTACATTGTTAGTGCAAAAGGGATATAAAACTTTTGGTTAGGCGTGCATGTGGGTTACCTATGGGTTCATGGTTCGAAACCTCGCACGTACTCCATCTGTCCCATAATATAAGAGCCTCTATGTTATTATGGGATGGAGGGAATACTATTTTACTCAATGTAATTTGTGTTCTTCCTGACAGCTGGGCCTCTAATATCATTTTATGTGAAAAACCTAAGGTTTTATTTTGTAAAAAAGAGCAGGCCAGTCATCCTATCCTCATCGTTCGGTCACTGACAGTGGGCCCCACACCACACCTGCACGCCTCGTCAGCGTCGCATACGTATACGATCAAGTTTTGCTTCGTATTTGCACCGCAAAGCCAAGTTCTTGCATCACTTTAATGTACACCACAACTTGTAGCACTAAAGTGATCGTCCATGCCAAAATCTAGCACCAGTGATGTAATTGATTTTTTTACTGGTGGTGCAGGAATACGACAGATAGAGTTGCTCGACAACTACCCGTTGGATGGTTAGGAGGAAAGTGGTATCTCAGCCCACCAAGTTCAAATCCTGGTGCTCGCATATTTTTCTGGATTTATTTCAGGATTTCCGGCGATACGCTTTCAGTGGGAAGAGACGTTTCCGTTGACTACGAGGCGCGTACGGTGACTTTATAAATCTCAAGATGATATACCGGCTCAGTCTCTCAGAGATGTTCATAGGTGTAGGGCGTGCGTTAATAGGGTTAAGTGTATGCGCGTATATATGATCGCTTGTGTCTGTACTTGTGTTATAAAATAAAAAACAACTCGTTGGATGGTCCGGCGACGGTGGATAACGCACGCAAGTCATAGGTAACTTACCGTTTGGAGCCCTACCACGAAGGAGTTTTTTTCTTCGTTGCGGGGTACTAATCTTTAGGTGTTACCATGATACAAGATTTTGGGCCGTCGGATTCTCAGATCAGACGGCTCTCAACAACTCTGCAACGTTTGCAAAAAAGCCTACAAGTAGTCCAAAAATCACGCACAGGTCCAGCTGATCCCACATCTCCTAAATGCCGTCCGTTTTAAGAATCCGACGGCCCAGATACCCGTATCACGGTAGCATCTAAGTTTTGGTAGCACCAGATACTCTACCCATGACGGAATTTGCCAATTCCCCATTCTTCACAAGGTTTATAGAAACCCTTCTCTTCTCTCCCCCTTCCATTATTCCTCTTCCTTTTCTTCTCTTCCCCTCTCTCCCCCTTTCCTTCTAGGGTTCTGCGGATCATTGTAGAATGAAGATCTCGTACCTCGATTTGCCATTCCTACCCGTGCGTCTCTGAGACGGCGCGAATTGCTGGGCTTGTCGACCGCTCGTGCTCGCCACGCGTGGTCACGGCGCACCCCGGCGGCGCTCGTTGATTTCGGAGGGGTTCTTCAAGGCTGAGCACTCGTCGATTTAGCATCAAAGTCTCCTGGAATCAGGTAAGCCCATGGCCTATTTTGCACTGTGTTGCGCTAACGTGGAATCCTTCCGGATCTGCAGGATTTGGTGGTGCTAATGTGATTCCATGTATGAATTATTGCAGGCAAGGATTGGAACCCCCTGAAGCAGCATCTTATTGGCATCTCGAAGCTTCTCGGACCAAGTTGTGGTATCTGCAAACGCCAACTAAGGACAGGTGAGGCGTCCGCTTTGTTGGTCGCACGTCAAATTTTCACGAAGCTGTAGGCTAGGATGGTCCTACTGAAGCAAATTGTGCTGTTAGTTGAACGTCAAATTTCCACGAAGCTGTAGGCTAGGGTTTTCTTTGGGTGGGGGGCTAGTACGATCCATGTTTGAATTGTAGAGGAAGGATTGAAGTTTCTTAAGCTATGATATCTGAAACGACTGGAGGCAGGTCAGGCGTACCCTGTGTTAGTCGCACTTCAAATTTCATGAAACTGTAGACTAGGATGGTCCTTGTGAAGTGAATCCTGCTGGTGTGTCTTTGAAGTAGTGGTTATCCAGTTCGTCCTGTATATTGCTTGAATGTCCTAACAGCTGTACGCTATAAGATTGTTCACCCGTCAGCAAATTACATGCCCAGTCTTCTTTTATTTAATGATCCAGCTTTGTGTTTTCAGATTGGCGGTTGTGTGTGTTGTCCTCTACTACACCCGTTTTCCCCTTCTACCTGCTCATTTTTGTACTTCTGTTTCTTTCCTTTTTCTTGTTATCTCTGCATCCATATTTAAGGTAGTGTTCGTTGCAACTCCTATGATATGACAACTAGAAATTGAGGTATGGTATGGTGGAACTCATAAGTTTAGAATCTCCAGGCTTCATAAGCTATGTGCTGAGCATCTGTAGTAACTGATTAACACTTCTTATGCTAGTATTTTGAATAGGCATTTAAACTAACAATTAAACGTGGTTGAGAGCTTTGGAGTCACAGTTCACATTTTATTTTTTGCACAAGATATGAATAATCTATTTGGATGTGCTGTTTTGAAGGAACTAAGAGATAAGAGTCTAATTGATAATTATATTTTACAGAATGGAAGCAGAATGGTTCTCGGGTATCAAGGCTGTCACCTCAACCGCCACGACAGTGGTATCTGGTTTAAATGATTGGATTGCTTTTCTTCAATGGTTCCAGCCAGACAAAACTTTGGAGAATGGACAGCTGCAGGAGGAGCTCTGGAAACTCGAGACAACAATGCCAATGATGCAGGAAATGACCGATAAAGCAGAGTGGTCAAGTCATAAGGACCCAGTAGCAAAACTTTTAGAAGAACTCAAGAGTGTCTTTTATGATAGTGAAGATACTCTTGATGATCTGAACTATTACGTGCTGAAATCAAAGAAGAGAAAGGTGCACTGCCAACAGATTTCACTAAGAGCACAGTCTGCTGTGGCTTTGGTAAAGTGAAGGAACTGCAAAGAAGGGCCGAACATCTGATAACTCAGTTGAATTTCATGGTTTCACACAACGAGAGGCATTTTGTGAAGTCATTCAGGCCAGAAACAAGTTCTCTTCCAAATGAACCTAAGATCTTTGGCCGCCAAAAGGAATTGATGGAAATTATTCAATTGCTTGGCGTGCCAGTAAGCATCCATAGTGGTGGGAAAAGAAAAAACAGTAAAAGTGCAACTGATGCACTCAGCACCCAGGAAGCTTTCATTGATGATGCAAGAAATGAAGGTGTGGGTGTACTGGCTTTAACTGGCATTGGTGGTGTAGGTAAAACAACTTTGACACAACAAATCTACCATCATCCTCTGGTAGAAGCTCATTTCAACCAACAGCTTTGGATATGTGTGTCCGATGACTTTGACGTTAAGAGATTGACAAAAGAGCTCGTACAGTCCTCAGGGGAGAAAGCATTGTCAGATAACCTGAATTCTCTCCAATCAATACTGGCTACTGCTGTCAAGTCTAAGCGGTTTCTGCTCGTGTTAGATGATATATGGGACGATGTTCTGACTGAAAATGGACAGGAATGGGAGAACTTCTGTGCTCCTCTAACACGTGGGCTTCCAGGAAGCATTATCCTAGTGACTACCAGGTCTGTTAAGGTAGCTAAGAAAGTGTGCACAGTTGGGACTTTTCCACTAGAAGGTTTACAAGCTGATGCCTTCTGGGAGTTCTCAGATCATGTGCATTCAATTGCAAGGGCTGCAAAAATGATGCAGATTTAGAAACCATTGCAAGGAAGATTGTTCCCAAACTGAAAGGGTCTCCTCTAGCTGCCAAAACTCTTGGCCGGTTGCTAAGGGTGAATCATGACATTGAACATTGGAGAAATGTCTTAGATAGTGAGCTTTGGGAATTAAAGCAAGAAAAGGAGGAGATCTTGCCGGCTCTTAGATTGAGCTACATTTATCTGCCTTTCCGTTTGAAGAGGTGTTTCTCACTGTGTGCAATGTACCCAAAAGACCATGTCTTTCAGATGGAAGTTGCTGTTCACATATGGTGTGCCCAAGGTTTCGTGGAACCTCAAGGTCAAATTCCTCTTTCAGATATTGCGCGTTCCTATTTTCAAGAACTTATAGACCGCTCACTCTTTCAAGAAGCTGAGGGGGCACCTGATGCATACGTCATTCATGATTTGATCCATGATATGCTCCAGTTAGTCTCAGCAAATGAAAGTTTCGTCGTAAGAAATGAATATGACCTTCTAAATGTTCCTCAAAATGTCCGGCATTTGTCACTGTTCACAGAGGAGAATTTTGATTCCAAAAGATTTATGATTCTATCTCAGCACAAGAAGCTGCGGACAATTTTTATCAAGGAATCATTGAACCAGACTGCTCTTATTCCTGTAATTGACTGTTGGTCCAGTGCCTTGAAATATCTCCGTTTTCTGTCTTGTGGCTTTAATGCTATAAAGGTGCTGCCTGAGACTGTTGCTCGTTTTAAGCTTCTGAGGTGCTTAAAGTTTGGAAGCTCCAGGACTTGTACTTTTCATACATTCCCAGAGTCATACTGTTGCCTTTATAATCTGCAAACGTTCGTGGGGCTAAGCTTCATATTCCAGAACTTACCAAGGAACTTCACTAGACTTGTCAACTTGCAGCACTTCAGAATTAATACTCTTACTCATCAGAGACACTGCACACTATATTCTGTTCCTTCCGAGTTCTCCCATATCAGATTGCTAAGGTACATGAATCTTAAGGGAGAACTGAATCTGGAAGGCATGTCCTATCTGCAACCAAATGATGTACAACAGCTCGAAATGAGCAAAAGAAAGGATATTCGGAAACTAATATTAGCTTTTGACCAGCGTAGGGGCACCTCTGATAGTGATATGGAAGTTCTTGAGGCTCTTTGCCCCCATCCAGATGTCATTCAGTGCCTGGATATCAAGTATTTCAAAGGCGACTTAAATCCTACTTGGTTTAAGCCATCAAACCTGCAGAGCTTAATGCAGCTCCACTTCATAACATGTGATATACGTACAGTATCTTGGGGTGGTGACCATGCTGGCACTATGTTCTCAGCTCTCACTTTTTTGAACATTTCTATGTGCAGCAGACTGTCTTCGCTTGAACAACTTCTACAGGCACCTGGTCTTCCAGCAATCAGAATAATTAGTATTGACCGTTGCCCAGAGTTGGTGAACCTTCCTGTTGAAACCTTTGAAGCTTTTGAATGTCTTGAAACACTGAGCATCTGGAGCTGCCCAAAGATTAATTGGGAAATGCTTGTTGGGTTGCCGCCTTCATTGCAATATCTGAACATGATTGATTTTGGTCAATTTTCTGATCACTTCCTGAGCTGCCTGGAAGATCTAGCATCGCTACTGAAACTGAATTTATCTTCTGAATCTTTGACTTCAATTCCCATACAACAATGGTCATCTCTACTGCGCCTGGATGTTTGGAACTGTAGCAAATTAACAACAGTTGACTTCACTCCTCGTTCCTTACCAGCAGTAAAAGTAATCACAATTCGAAATTGTGAAGCTTTATTGTCTCTACCTGGCGAAACGTTTGTGGAGTTCTGTTGTCTAGAGGAATTGATGATACGTGAATGTCCAAATATTGAGTGGAGAGGCTTGACATTTCCTATATCGCTTCGGGAGCTGTACCTCAATGACTGTGGAGACATCTCACCATGGGTTCCGAACTCACTGGAGCACCTCAACCACTTAACCCATCTGGCGTTGATGAACCTCAAGTACATCAAATCTATCTCTGCACAAATATGGGCACAGAGTTTGTCAAAGCTGGAATTCTTGCAGATCTGTGAGTGTCCTCATCTGCAAGCGATTGGTGGTCCCAAAGGAATTGCAGGCATTACTAATGCATTTGTTGAATCGTGTGACAAGCTAAAGGGTATAAAGCAACCTTTCCGGAGAGGTAGAATGGCCCACTTCGGCCACTTTTGACACATGTAAGTGTTCTAGAAGCAATACCATTTACTATCCATTACGTAATCCTGTTTATGTTTTTGTTTTACAGTTGTTAGCAATTGTTAAGTTTCTCTTTTCATGATGGCTATTTTCAGTCATGTCTTGTTTTTGCCATTACAACATGAGAGTTTGAAGCGGATGAAACTTATTATCCTAAGGAAACCTATCCCTTACGGCCTTACCAGAATTAGACATGTGTCAGTGTACTGCAAGTTCTACTTAATCAGTCCTTATCATGTTTAAGTGGTACTGCTGCCATTTCTTGTACTGAAAGATACAGCTTAATCACTGTAGTGTTAGTAATTCACTCTTAAATTTAAAGGTCAGAGGCCCGGCCCATTTGAGCGAGAGTAGTACTAGGATGGGTGGCCTCCTGGGAAGTCGTCGTGAAAGGGTTTCATATCTAAGGGTTGTGATAGGCTTGGTGAGCCAACGTAAAAACTAGCCAGTCTTTTGGGTATGAAACCCATTTGGGCGAGAGTAGTACTAGGATGGGTGACCTCCTGGGAAGTCCTCGTGAAAGGGTTTCATATCTAGCCTACCCCAACTTTTTTGGGATTAAAGGCTTCGTAAGCAAGAGGCCCGGCCCCCATATTGTCGGTAATCTTATGGACAGACCAACATTGGAAGAAAACCTCTATTTTAGTTTATTGCCTCTGGATTCTGCAACTGTTTCCTTATTTGACCTTCAGTAGTTCTGGGTATGTGAGATGGATTATATAATTTTGGATGTATTTAGATTGACTTGCCACTTGTTGGAACAGTTGATGTGTACATTTAGTTTGTACTGTAGTTCATTTTTTACTCCTGAGATACGAGAGTGAAATGGCATCAATGGGTCATCACCTTATGTGCTTTCAGCAATGTCGCATCTACGATGAACTAAATGACAAATCTCAAGACATTTTTGGAACCTCCATTTTACTGGAGTGCAGATGATGATATTTTTTTCCTCTTATGGATGATGACTTTGGTGCTGTTTTTAGTACTCAAGTCATGTGTGTTCATGATCATGCAATAAATACCTTTTTCCAATCTGTGTGTTCTTTCTGATCTGTTTCTCTTTAATATGCAATCAGTTCTTTGTTTCTCCTTTCGTTTTAATAACAATATAAAGTATGGCCCTGTACTAGGGGTCATGTTGTGGGATAACGAATTAGCTTAGCCCAGCCAACGTGTTTGAGCTCAATGCCTAGCAGAGAAGACCAACTTGGCAGGGAACGCCAACCACCTAATAGAGCAGGGGCCTGCAGAACCATCAGGTTATCCTACATCATTGAAGACGGAACTTTGGGAGTAGCGATATCGCAATTTCTGCAATTCACTGACATCTTTATGCCTGCATGCATGATCTTATACAAATTTCGGCTGTTGGATATCTTATTAATTCGTCGCATGCATGCTATTGGCATGATTCGCGGAGCTAGTCCGACCAATACTATTTTGCTTGATGAGAATGGGAATGCTCATTACCCATTTTATCTTAAGATGCCTTTGACTTTCCTATTTTAGTTAATGATGCATTTTCCCTGTCGTATATTCCGTTCTCACATCAGCGTATCTTGTGTGCATGCTGAATTGCTTGTGTTGTGCTGCCATCCCAGGTTAGCTCCTGCAGGTGGAGTCGAACCAGAGAGAAGGCGTGAAGTGCCAAAGTGACCCTGAACCTCCTGAAGCCTGAAGAGGGTTAAACCCCTGTGACTTGTTACTCTGCTTTCTTGCTTTGGTGGTCCGAGAGGTGAGAGCAAATGGCTTAACAAACATGAAGCCTGACGTTTTTTTTCCTTGGTTTTCTTTTGGCGAAGCAAAGAGCACCGTAGCAGGCAGGCAATTTCCCCGTAACTGATACTCTTGCGTTCCTGCGCTGTGATGTCTGGTGGTGAGTTTAGGACCTTTCCCCTGTGTTGAGCATATGCGCTTTGGCCCGCCCAAAGGTGATGACGCTTTTGCTGTTATGGCAATTGGCAAGTGGTAGCAAATTGATGAACTATTTGTCCTTTACTGTGTTTTGGGGTTACGTTTCTGCTCTACTTTTATTTGTTGCTTTTAAAAATTCTTGTTCAAGTCATAGTGTTGCATGTTGCGCTGTAATACTTGCGTGGTGCGTTTTGTCTCAAAGAAGGAAAAGAATGGGGCGCCGTTTTTTTTTTGATGGGGCGTCGTGCTGAAGGAGCTGGGTTGGCGCTTGGTTGGACGGCATCAGCCTGTCGGCGGCCGTTGTGCGCGGGTCCGATCAGACGACGAGGTTTATTCAGTTTGGCGGTCGCGTCCAATCCAATGCTTCCAGTCCGGCGGCGGCGTCGGGCACCCACGGTGACATCCTTTCAGAGACCCAAAGGTGGCTCTGTCGGCGAGCGCTTTACTACATGTCCAGGCCGACCGACGGCACGGCATGCTCCTGTACTGTAGGAAGCCCTGGGCTCCTGTACCCTCAAATCTGAACTAAAACCTCGTCAAATATTTCCGAACCGGGTACATATATTCATATATCGCTGTCCCAGAGCTCCTCGGGTGTTTTGTAAGGCCCGTCGGGCGACATGAAACGCTCACCCAAAGACGCCCTCCTCTGCGGTATCGTGTCAATCATCCCCTTCTCCTTCTCGCCCAACTCCCAGTCGAAGATCTCCATGTTCTGCTTCAACCTCTTACCATTGTAGCTCCTCGCCACAAAGCACACGCTCTGCTCGTATAGCCACCTCAACGCCACCTGTACACATCATCAACAAGACATGATCGATGTTGATTTCTGTTACAGTTCGAAAATATCAACACATATATCATCTTTTAATTTTCCATCAGCACCTTTTTTGACTGAAATAGTTTCTTAGTGATTTTGCAGGATTTGGGCGCATAGAATCTATTATTCCGCTTCTAAACGATCTTTAGGATTCAAATTTGCAAAAGGTGTGGCTAGATCTTAATCGATTGAGACTTAATCAAGTCTCAGTCAAGTGACATGGCATATTCAAAAGAGAAAGAAAATGGATTTTTTTTTTGCGGGGATCTACACATAAGATCTCACGAGTGTAACATTGGTTAAGTCTTAGTCGACTGAGATTTACCGATCCAACATAAACTTCTTTACATTGATTTCTAACGAGATTCAGTGTGCTAATGTCTAGAATAGAAGTTTAGATAGTTGTTATGTTGATTCTCTTACGAAATTTGTGGTTTACCCACCCTGTATTTGCCTAATTTATTGTTTCATACGGCATGTTAAAAACATACGAAATTCATAGATGATGTCTTTAGAAGTTTAGATAGTTGTTATGTTGATTCTCTTATGAAATTTGTGCTTTACCCCGTCTTTGCCTAATTTATTTTTTTCAAACTTGAAAAGGTTGCTTCAGGAACAAAACCTATGCAGGAACTGAAATAATCTGACACAAGCTAATTTAGAAAAAAAATCTGATATAAACTTCACTGCAATAATTGACATTTGTTTCTTCCTTTCATGTTTACCTGCGCGACGGTCTTGCCTCTGGCGGCGGCGACGTCGTGCAAGACGCCGCTCTCCATGACGGCGTCGGAGCCCCAGAAGGCGCCGTACGCGCCGAGCGGCGAGTAGGCGGAGACAACAACGCCGTGCCGGGCGCACACCTCCCGCACCTTCTCCTGTCTCCACCCGACGTTCATCTCCACCTGGTTGACCGCCGGCGGCACGGCGGCGAGAGCCAGCAGCCTCTCCATCTTGGCCGCCGAGAAGTTGCTCACCCCGACGGACCTCGCCAGGCCCAACCGGTGGCACTCCTCCATGCCGCGCCACACGCCCTCCATGTAGAACTCCACCAGCGTGCTCTTGTCTACCGGGAGGCCGCCGGCGGTGGCGGCCACGGGCCAGTGGACGAGGAAGAGGTCAAGGTAGGCTAGGCCGAGGCGGGCGAGCGACTCGCGGAGCGCCGGGACGACGCGGCCCGGGCGCGCGTCGGAGATCCAGAGCTTGGAGGTGACGAAGAGGTCGGTGCGGGAGGGCACGGCGCCGGCGCGGACGGACTCGGCTACGGCGGCGCCCACCGCCGGCTCCGTGCGGTACATGGACGCCGTGTCCAGGTGGCGGTAGCCGAGACGGACGGCGTGCACGATGGTGTCCGCCAGGTCCGCCGGCTTGCTTGGCGAGCCCGTGCCGAACCCCAGCACCGGCATCGCGTGGCCCGTGTTCAGGATCACGGACGGGATTGCCGTTGCCCCGGCGCCAACGCCGTGCCCGTCGTCGCCGGCTCCAGTGATCATGGATGGAGTTCTTTGTGATCGGTTGAGCAGTTGGGTCCAGTGTTTTGGCTTGTAGCACTATGGGCCTGTTTGGATCATGGAGTTAGAGCTAGGTTGGGTTAGTTGGGGGCTTAAATAATTTAAAAGTATCCAGGCAAGGAGGGTTAAAGTGGATTAGTTTCATCTAATCCAACTATACCGGTGGAGAGATGCTTAGTTCCATCTAACCCAACGCAGGAGAAGGTGAAGACCTCCTGCCTGCTTGGCCAAGCACGGATTGTCTGATTGCCATCTGCCAAGCTGAGTAGGAACTGACGGCATGTCAGGCTCCAAGCGACGTGTAGGCCAGACGTGATATTATTTTTTCACAATTAGCTACTTCCTCCGTTTTAAAATTCTTGTCTTACATTTGTCTAAATACAGATGTATCAAGTCACATTTTAATATTAGATACATCCGTATCTAGACTAATCTAAGACAAGAATTTTGGGATGGAAGGAGTAGTAAGTACTCCCTCCGTTCTTAAATATAAGTCTTTCGATCTATTTCAAATGGACTACAACGGGCGGATGTATGTAGACATATTTTAGAATGTGGATTCATTCATTTTGCTTCGTATGTAGTCCTTTGTTAAAATCTTTAAAAAGACTTATATTTGGGAACGGAGAGAGTACATGCGGGACACCTGAATTTAAAATTTGGGTAGGTGGAATTTCGCTTGAAGGAAGCAGTAGCCGAAGAGAAGGAAGGAGCTTGCCGGAGGGAAG